TAATAATGAGGATGATACTGCCCTGAATGTGACGTCTGGTAATGACCGAAGGTTACAGTCATGGGATCACTGGGGTTTTTGGATTTAGATCGCTAACCAACATTCTTCCATTCACACTGTGAGGGGTTTATGACTTTATTTCCTTGGAGAGATTGGCTTTGGCCCAGTCTTGCAGGCTTTGCTGTATAATCCAACTCCTCTGATAAGGCCAAGATTGGGAGAGAGTTCTAATCACTAGTAATACTGCAGGGGTGATTAGCTTGTCTTAAAGCACAGACAGATAATATTGTTAATTGTGAACCGGAATCGACTATCAGGATGCCTCTTGCAAAATACTCTTGTCTTTCTGTAACTTCTGAAAAATATTCCAAAGGGCTACTTTCCTTTGGCGTTAAAACTTAGTCTCTCCTCCTGTAAATACATCAAAGAATTATGTACATTGAGTGGCACTAAAAATAGATTTCCACGCCGTCATCTTCACTGGGCGCTCTGTCATCAAACAGCTCTTGAAATGCCTAAGCCACGTATACTGCCTTGTATTCGATTTTAACTTTGTTGTGATTTCTGGTCTGTTAAAAGGGAAGCAAGTAATTTTTTTTTGAAGCATTTGCAATAATTCCAAGAAAATATCTTTCCAAACTGGAACAGTTTCTATTTTGTCAGGTCTTGCTAGGGAAAATGGTTCCTTCCTTCCTTTTCTCTCTTCTGGGCTTTTTCCCCTGTTTTTATTTTGAATACAGTGGCGCTCCGCTCTCCTTGCTGTCCTTTTATCAGGGTGCTTGCAAAGCTGCAAAGCTTTTGAACCTTTCAGAGCCCACCCTGGGGTCCCTCCCTCTTCTGAGCAGGGTACAAGCTGCCCAGAAGATAAGATGGCTACATTCCCGTGGAGCTGAGCCTGGGAGGGCCCTCAGCGGGGGTGGGAATGGGCCAGGCTTCTGAACAGATTCTGATTATCAGTGTATCAACCGTTCTTTGAAGAATCATACTTAGACTATAAGTTGCTCTCATTTGTTACTATCATTCACACGTATTTTAGGAAGGAATGCAGAACATAACTGAATTTGAGTGCCAGAGCCACCATGTTTTTTTTTTTTGGCCGGGGCTGGGTTTGAACCTGCCACCCTCAGCATATGGGGCTGGCACCCTACTCCTTGAGCCACAGGCTCTGCCCTCCAAGAACCACCATGTTTTAATTGTGCAGGCAAGATTTTTGACCTCTCTAAGCTGCCCCTTTCTCACCTATAAAATTAAATTGTAATATCTGTACCATGGGATTGTGAAGATAAAGATAAAATCAGACATATGACATGCCTAGCCAAGTGGGCCCCCAGTTGGTCTCCCTACCACTGTGATTAAATGTCAGTATTGTCTCTCTGTAAGTAGATGAAGTCCCAGCAGTGGGCATTCTTTGGAGGTCCTAGGGGACAAATGAAAACCACACGAACGCCAGGAAGAAAGTCTCAGCTTCAGGATTATACTACCATTAGCTTGGTATTACCAACATAAAAAGATAACATTGACCTTTATGAAACTGGCCTCCTGGGTCTTTTTTTGTTTGACTCAAATCTAGAGTTTGTGAGGTCCAACCCCTCCCCCACTTCATAGATCTCCATGCCTAGTAAATTTGGTTATAAACACCACTCAACCATTAAAGCCCAAATGAAGTCAAGTGGGTATTTGATTACAGGTTTGATTAATGGGACCCAGACCTAAGACTGGCTGTAACCATTGCAGGTTCTTTAAATCTTGGAAACATTTGAAAACCCAAACACTGCGGGCATAAGTCATTGAAGTCATCGATGCCTTTAAGAAAGGGAATGTATGTCCACTCATTTTCAAGTCTGTAGACTTTTCCATAGTTATTTTGTTCTTGTTCTCTCCCCATCAAGAGACAGAATTTTTCTGAACATAGGAGCTCTGGGCTATCTTTGTTTATTCTGTCAACAGCCTACTGTATAATCTATGAAATCAAAGGCAGGTTTATCAGCCGGGCAAGCATACTTTCTATCCCGGAGCATTGAAGTTGCTAAAGAAGCCACTAGAACAGGATCAGGAAGATAAGACTTTGTGGAGGTCTCATGGTCAGTTTGCATTTGTGTCCATTAAATGCTCTTATCCTGTGAAAAGGTTAAGAATTTGCAATTTTAGGAAAAACTACAAACCTGGAGGGATATCAGCCGTAGGAGACAGCAACCAGACATATTACAGGTTCATTCCAGGGAAGTCTTCCCTGAGTGGGGATGATCATCTGGATGTCGTTAGACAAACTGGGCCCTGAAGGGCTGTCATTCACGCTCCACCTGCCATTTAGTCCAGCACATTTAAAGCATTTCTTTTTTCAGTGAAACTAAATTATTTCTGTAATTTTAAATTGATATTACTAT